GCCCCTCACGAGTTTGGTCTGTTTCCTCAAAAATTTTTGGTGCTTAAGCCCCCCTAATGTTTTTTGGTGATTTGCGCCTATGGTCTGCAAGTTCGATTATTATTATGACCCTCTCTCTCGTGATAACTACAGCAATCGTACGATACTTGTGCAATATTATTGATATGGATTTTTATCGTGCGTTGCTAGTGCGCATGTGCGGTGTGCTTCGGTGCTTTGTGGCACGCAGCGTATCGTCAACATAGTTAACTATATGACACATGTTCCGTCTATGAGTATGAGGTCTATGAAGATTAGGTACTTACCTGCTATACGTGATCAACCGATATTGGTGTGATTCATTTTTAATGTGCGATTTACCGATATCATTTTAAAGCCGTGATCGACTTGGCTGAYGACCTGTTGTCGGCGCATATACGTATATGGATGGAGTGATGAGTTGTAGGAATATCTAACGATTAAAAATCAACAATGTTAAAAAATAAAAATGTATATAATATATTATATTATAAATGTATTATGCAAGAGATATTACATTTATTAAGCATATAGATTTTACACGTGAATAATAAATATTATTAAAAAAAAAATTTTTTTCCATCAAAACACAGATTCTTCATACGAGTAATACTAAAAACTTAAATCAATAATATAAATATATATATATATCATGTTACAGCGATCTATTATTATAATATATAGGTAATATATTTAATAATGATATGTACAACAAATAAAATATACACTGTATATAAACATAGTAAAAAAATTATAAATGATGATAATAATAAAGTGACTAGAATTAAAAATACTACGCCATACACAATATAATAATAATAATATTTAATATTATACACAAGAGCGCGACTCCGCAGAAATACGCGCATTTAGATCATCATCGCTGTGACACTTAGATGTAAAAAAAAATTATATTGATATTCACCAATATCGTATTTAATACTATTATACAATATATGAATCGATCGTGATCAAAAAACTCACCGCGACTTTAGGTATAATATTATACCGTGGTTGCGACAAGAGCAAAATAAAACCAAGAAATATTAAACGCGAATACTTATACATTATATTATGTTATACGAACCAATGATGAGATAATAATTATAATAATTAAAATAATAATTAATAATATAATAATGATGATATAGGTAATTATAATAATATAGTAAATAGTAATAATCTTATTATTATTCTTATTTTAATAATAATATATTATAAGACGCTCGCTCAGGTAGCTCGCCGTATTATAATACATTCACATGATATTGTAAAATATTTATATAAAATATATACACAGTACACACACACAGACACGGGCGGGTGTATTAATTAACGATGATGAGTGCGATACGAAAAAATAAAAAAATACGCGACGACACATTAATTACGTCCGTATAGTTTTACGACATTGTTACTCCGAAAACTCATAAAATTGTTTTTTCCTCCTTATTATAATATGATAATAATATTATTATGTTCGACCTGGTCGTAAAATCACGAAAATCGATAAAAGCCTAAGTGCTCCCTCTCGCGTATTGTACATTTTGTTTAATTTGCCAGTCGCCGGGCGCACGCGTAATAATTTACGATGATAATATTATTACTATTATATTATTAGGTGCCTAATAATAATAATATGATAATCGTCGACGTCGCCAACGAGTTGTGTTACACCGGATGAGAAACGGAAACAAGACGTGTTCGGCAAGTGTGTGACGACCACGAGTGAGGCGAGTCGTATATAATAATAATATGTTCTTGTACATTTCGTATCAGTATTTTTTTTCCTTTAATTAATGATCGAAAATACACAAACGCGTGTGTCTTGAGGGTGAGCGCGGCGGACCGCGGTAGCCGTCTGGAGACGCGCCGCCACCCACGTCACGCCATCACCCACCCACCCCATCTACCCATCAGCAGCAGCCGTTCACACGCCACCCCTGCTGCTGCTGCAGTCGTCTGCGGATCCGATCGACGAACAGTCCTCCGAATCGCCTCCGTAAGACCGCTCCTCATCCGGCGGCGAAACCCCCGCGGCGACTGATGCGGCGTCGGTGGACGGCAGACGCGACACCGGAGAGCACTCGGGACACGCGCCGCCGCGACCCTTGTCCGTTTCCGGGGCCATGTACACCTTACCGCACTTGTTGCACTCCTCTTGGGTTTCACCTGCGGAAAACGAGACGGAAAAAATTAAAAACATATTAAAATATATAGTATAATACGGCCCGACGACTAGATCGAGTCGGGATAACGTCATTTTATTATAAATTTATATAGGTATATATAAGTATATTGTCGTTATTAATAGTACCTATATTGTTAAAGTGTGAGCGTATATTATTATCGTGTAGTATTATGTATAAGTACAGGTTTATAACAATAATAATAATAATAATAAAAAACAGGGACTTGATGTTCAGTGGCAAGAAAAAACTTGAGCAAATTTCGAAATGCATGCGCACAGCATATATGTATATATGTTTGGTTATTGTTTGATATGTATATATTATAGTTGTTAAATTGCAAAAAAATCGTCAACCTTGACATGAACTAATTTCCAAAGCAATAACCAGTGATTTTATTCGTCATATTTCGTAAGGAATATGCATTGCACTCTTCAAATATCGAGTTCTGATCACATTAACGCGATATGATCTGCAAGGWACAGTCTGAAATTATTCGAATATCACAGTCTGCAGCATAATAATATAGGTTCATAAATACAATGTTTTCTGACCGATTTCATTCGTTCGATTTGTGCGATTATATATAATACACACACATTATACATATTGTGCTGATATATATCGAGGATTTTCGGATAACATTTTTMTATATTTTATACAATCCCACCAAACGACAGAATCTAATRGATTTAATATATATATTTATAAAGGGCAGTGTTTGCCGAGATCCTCGGCTATTATGTATTATATATATATATCATTATACKTAGATAGCATTATATTAAGGGTTTAAGTGTTTTTATAGGTCGCCAATTATTATCCGTTCGTTATCCTATATATACCTAAAGGGGGTAATTCGGTGGGCGTAAGTGCGTGTATAATAGGACGACCAAATGTACGCCRATGTCTATTAATTTGGGTAGTATTATTACTATTATTTTAGATGTAATAAAATACAGGCGCCACAGATAAATGCGAGGACAATTTTCGCGGCGAGCACACGGGACTGGTTCACTGAAAAGGTGTACATATATATACATACCTACACACGGTTTTCGCCAATAACGGTGTATAAATAAGAGGCTTGAAACACCCCATTTTTGGGCAATGTAAACGCGAGCGGTAGGTACATCGTTTCGGCGGAGAGTTGGCCGAGATGAGGTTGAAAACGTATAGAATGCCTATATTATACTATCGGTGTTTCACGATAGGCCTTAGACTTAGCCGACGCAGCACGTAAACACGCGTAACGTGTGTTTACGCGTAAGGGAAAACGACGCCCACATATACCGTGTATAATATAATGATAATAATAATAACATATTATATCGTTCGCGTGAAAGTGTGTATAGAGAGGTATACGAACGGCGGCATCGTGGCGGTGGGAAAAAAATGGAAAAAAAATTCGTTTTAAGAAAAATATTAAACGTCGTAATGGATTTGAGTTTCGTGTCCGCAGTGATGGTGACGTGCACTGCAGTGCGGTGGCTGTCAAAAAATAAAAAATAAATCCTAAAAAATATCAAATAACGCATATACTATGAGCAAAAGCTATAATGACTAACAATATCGATCACGACGCGCATCTTCTGCAGCCTATTATGACCTATGGGTTAAATAAAATATATCTATTATAAACGAATTTTGTGTCCGGCCGTTCTGTAATAACATTTCGCTCTCAGTTTTCTTATATCCGTTCATAGTCCATCATAAAATAAAGGCCTTGCGTGTGATATATTTCACACATAAATAATGTATGTAATAAAAACATTTAGCCCGTCCATTATTGATACGACAAAAAAAAAGTCATCGTCCAGCGACAGCCGTGAAAATCGCAAGTATATGTACGACGAATATTGATATAGTATTGTAATTAAATCTTAAATCATATGAATTTGCGAGTAAATCGAATCATAATTAACCTGTGCAGCAATATCATAATAATATACGACTTCGCAACTGCAGATTAAAAGTATATATAATATAACAGTAATAGTGTGCCGATATCTGTTATTATACAGTATATTGATTTAATATTGTGTGTTATTTWWAAAAAATAAATCATCGTTTGATGTATTGGCGGTGTCGGATGATACGCGCACTACATATAAGTAATAATAATTTTCCTAATACGGCGGATAATACGCCTAGGTACATAATGCGTATAGAAAATTATCGTTTGCCGCGAGTTGTCTGTTAATCTACATAATATTATAATGCATATCGTATAATAAATTGATATGCTGTGCGTATGTGTGTATATAGACGACCCGGACCTGTGTTAGAGGTATGTATAAAAATAATAATATATATTTCCACGTCCGTCGTCATTATCCGTCGGCTTCTCTAATACGTATTCCGTTTTCATAACATATATTCGCGCGCTCGGATTTCTCGCCTGCTCATTCGACACGCTGTCCGCGTCCCGCACCCGTCCGATCGTTATACGGATGATGAGTGGGTATAATGATAATACTATCATCGCCGTCGTCGCACATCCGATTGCCCGCTCCCGTCACTCCTATCGTCTTGCCCACGACGATCTCGATCGAAAATCAAAAAAAAAAATTATGAAGCGAAATTAATATATTACATACACGAAGCGGTGACGACGACGACGCTGTATCATATAGCTCTCTCAATTCACCGCGCCAAGCAACTTTATTCGCAGTCTCGGCCAAAACTCGATCTCCCCAGTACGTAATCCCATACAGGTGTATGATAATAATTATACAGCATTATATTATTATTATGCAGCCGATAAAAAGTGCCTATACTTGCATGTATACATATAATGAATAATATATAGACTGCACGAGAAAAATAATAATATTAACACTGTATTACACGGAAGTTTTTAACTTTCCTAAATATACGCGCTCGTCTATTAGTTATTAGTTACTCGTATTACTTTTGGCGACTCCGACGTCTTTGTATATAAATATATCGTATATACAATAATGATAATATAATATACATCACCTATTATGGTACATATTTATCAACCGAAAGGATAGGTGAAGTGTGTATTATAATATACTTGTGACGGATAATTACAGGTAGATTGAGCCAACGTAAAAACTGCACGCGGTCGCTATAATATAATCGGGTTTATGCTGAGCGGGGACTATATAATGTTATAATAATGTAAGGTATTTACATATTTAGGTACATATTTACAGGATGATTTATTTTTAATTTGAAGAGATAGGTTAATTTTCCCTGTAAATTTTCAATATTTTTTTCTAAAATTCAATCATTTTTTATCATCATTTAAGTGGATTTGAATTGAAATTATCTGCATACTAATAGTAATAATTAACATATTACCTTATGTCTATAAATTAAACGGATATTTACAATCTACATTCAGTCAATAAAAAAAGTAAAGTACATAAAATAAGATACCAGGACTGAGTGGATTGGGTGAAGATGATGGTGGTAGTAAACGTTCACTCACTATACTTATACTTAAAATAATTAATATTACAAACACCGGATTGTGACCGAACCATATTATACCAAGATAATCAAGTGTAATAAAAGACGCTTTAAAAATATATGAGGGATTAGCGCAGCATTAAAATATATATTATATTATTATGTAGCGATCGTCATGCGAATTTTCGCTTCATAACTGTTCTGCCTCATATTTATATGTACAGAAAATTAGCGTATATTATATTATAAAGACCAGTTAAGATTATAATATTCTTGTAGCACAACCGGCCATAATAACACAGTTAAAGATTACAGTTCAAGCGGAATTCATTACTCGAGAGTCTTGACTATCATCACAGAAATGAATTAATCAGAATGGACACTTATAAGTTATAAGGAATAATTATACGAGAACTGTATGATAACAGAAATGTGATGAACTATTTCGCCATTTTTTTTTTTTTTTTTGGAAAATCGGTATGGCAATGTACATGTATATAACAATATTATCTTCCTTCGAGAAAATCGCAGCTATAATTATTATTGTTAACATTTACAGTGCCCAGAGCCTGTTATCCTTCTGCAGCTACATAGTCTCGCGACGTTTTCTATAGTACCTACGTATTTATATCGCGTAAACACAGACGGCGCAACCCTTACAAAAAAATAAATATATATAGTAATATTATATTATAATAACACGTCGCGAGACTATTCATTACCTATATACGTAATTATTGCGAGGCGACGTATATATAACTATAATAATTATAATATAATATTATTATAGGACTCAGCCATACTCCCGCACTCGACTATAACACGTCTATGGCTTATATAGGTATATGTTACACGTGTGTGTGTGTGGTTAGTGGGTTGMGGAAATTACACGTTATATTGCGATCGCGGCATTAGACGGCGTCAACGTGATCCACCTGTATTTATATTATATTATATTATTATATATATATATATATCGTTGTCAGCCCTAATGAATCGGTCGGTAATCTCTGCTGTAAAGATGGGTGCACGCGCTTATATATGGCCAAGTATATCATGGGTACCACTACGTTACGTAAGATGGGTATATACGCACGCGTAGGTACATGCTGCAGTCTATATGATATAATTAATATAACGATGAGATAATAATAACGATTGTGCCGAGATATATTGCGAGAAAAAGGTAGAAAAACAGAGAAAAAATATAGAGAACGAGGACAATCCCTACCACGTGGCGTACCGCGGACTCTGTCGAAACTCTAATACTAATTGCTATCATTCCGTGTACACGAGTAATAAATAATATTTAAAGATTATATATATATTATGGGTAACACAGATTCGCGGCTACGACAGTCGTAATCGGCGAGCTCACGTTATGATGAAGATGATGTGGTTATTATAGGTATTACGGATAATATTAAATACTATACTCACTCTCGTGGGTCTTCATGTGTGCTCTCAGGTTGCAGGCGAGGGCGAATTTCTTTTGGCACAGTTCGCAAGCGTGCGGTTTGTCTCCTGAAACAAACAAAAAACACAACCGTTAAATATACGTCTCGCACATACCTATTATTTTCGATCTATAATATCATATATTTACGCTTTCGAATATAATATGTATCTATATATACCTACTACGAGTACGTGTCTATTATAGCTATCTACTTTACGAACAACCTGCAGACTGCAGTTATCGTCGTGTCAATAAAAATAATTGATAATATTAAGCGATGAGTATTTTACGATATTTATGTTTACGCGTATATAATATGCATGTTATACAGCAAGACGAAACCTTAATCCGGATTAAAATATATTATATTACAATATTATACAGTCGTCGATTCGTGTTATCCGGATGGGAATAAATATCACGATTCCGCGTCAAGAGAAAACCTGCAGCGGCGGACCATAATAATAAACACGTGAAATGGGTTTCACTCTCTCTCTCTCTCTCTCTTTCACACACACACACACTTCGTATATACGTAGTATACGACGTAAATATATTATAATATGTATATAAAAATAAATGTACGTTTAGATGAGGCTTATATATAGACATATTATAGAAACTACTGAACCAAAATATTTAACCATCGTATTCCTTGTAGTATGTTTATATTTTAATTTTTCATCCCATATAGATTTCTATATAGGTAGCTCAGTAACTCACACACGAATTTCGTTACTGATCTCGAAATTCGAATGTTTTTTTTATTTATATAATAAAGAGTTGCTGTGTTTTTACTGTTGGTATGTTTGTAGCTTATAGACTAAAAAGCTGCACTCGTCCGATTTTGGCGAACATTTTAGAAATTTTTCTCAGAGGCATTAATATGAGAGTTTAGAGTATAGCTTGAATCGCTTTTGAAAACACACTAAATGCTAAATCTAATGCTAAACAGGAGGATTACACATCTATGTCGAATTAGTTCAAAAAGCATAATATAATGGTATGCAAACACTGGTTTTCTAGTGAAATTGTATTTGTTAATTCTTTCTCCAGCATAGTCGCGTTTACAGCAGCTATTAGTTATGTTGTTATGTATATAATATAATATTTCGTTGATGAGTGTCGTGCTAGTATATATTCTGATAGAAACAGAGAGAGCTAGAGAGAAAGAGAATTTGTCTTCGTGCCCGACCACGTGATTGTAGGACATGTGACTACTGTGACGTGCAGTGATGGCTCTGTGTCGTCTCGGCGAAATGGTATACATTATACAATAATATTATAACAATTAATAATAATAATAATATTATTATTATTTTCGATTGGGTCGATTCGCTCACCCCCATCCGTCGCCTCGGTCGTTTCGAGACGATTTTAATTAGACATCGCATTGTTCAATTCAAACGTCACGTTGTCGCGATTATAATAAGGCGAAGAAATTTCCACATCCCGCCCCTAGCTACTATATCGTCGTCGTTTTGAATGGCACTAGTCGGCAGTCGCAGCCTCCACCGCCGTCACTATACAAAGTACCAGTACACATAATACAATATATACGCGCATATACATATTGTCGGTATATATTTACGCATATAGCAGATATATAGAATGGGCACAATCGTCATCATTTCCTGCAACCACCAAGACCATCTGACTGGGCGTCTCCTCTAATTTGCGCGCGTTCAATTCGATATTGAATAAAATATGTCCGTCGTCGTCAACGCTTTTATTCTTTATGCGTAATGTGCAGGATAGCAAGCCCAGTCGATCGCTACAAATTTTCTAATAACGTTAATAGTACCTACTGATAACGTCTGGAGACTTTAATACATAATATCGATCGTAGTCATCCGCTCGTGCAGTCGGTCACATATGTTATTAGGTATAATATGTTGTTCGCCAATTCTCCGAACAGGCACGTACACCCCTCTGTGTTTTAAGTGTTCAAACACGCCCCGAAATATTTATTTTTTGTATGGTTATTTACTTATTCTATTTTTATGTTAATTGTCATATTACTCATATTATACTTCAATAGACAAGTGTAATATTAAATTGTGTTTGTAAAAAACCAGCTAAAGCAGAATTAAAATGTAATACTAACAAGTTAAAATAATTGATATAATATAGATATTAATTGTTAAGATATTCTAAACATAATGGCTATAAATTCATGAAAACTAGATTCAATATTGTAATTGTTTTTATTATATCAATGTTTATATTAAAAAAAAAGTATTATACTAAATTTTCTTAGAAAAAATCGTATGTTTAATAAAAAAATTTCTACTTATCAATATAACTGATTTTAAAGAACAACTCCAAAATTTTTTTCTACGTACGTCACTGTTGCGCGCGATTACATAACAGAATATCATAAATCATAATACAAAATGTGATATCTGGCTTCGTATTAACAAGCGGCAAAGATGATATAGAAATAGAAGTTTTCCCTCGTGCTAATTTATATATTATAAACTCGAAACGAAACTGATAATAATGAAATCTCTCGGTCTATGGATATATAGGTACACGTCATGAGCAAATTATCTGCAGTTTTATACATATCTAAAATATAATATGTGTGTGGGATGTTAGAGCTGAGTGATGCTTATAAATTATAATAGATGCGATAATAATAATATATAATTTATGTTTGTGGATATTAAGTTTGTAAGCATTCGATATCTGATCGGCTTCGTCTTCATCGTATAATATATTTAGTCTTCATAATATTATAGCATAGGCGTCTTTATAATATATATTATACGCGTTAATCCAACGCGTAAACATTATTATAAGGCTCATAACCGCATTACCATCATCTGCTTAGCTGCTGTATATATATGTATATATGTATATATGTATATATAGGTAGCAGATCGATCGTGTTTCTCTTATTCGCTTCGTCCGTCTCTATAACCCAAATCTACTTTCATATGTTCTATATTAATATTATTATTATTATTTATGTTTACCCGTCGATCTGCCGCCGTGCACATCAGACAGTCGTCGTCGTCGTATAATACACCGGACCAGTATATTATACATCTCTCCGCGGCCGCGGAAACCACCGCCGTAGCKTTCGTGTGAGATTTTATTTTTTAATATAAATATTACATTTTCCACGCGCAATACCATTACAATAATAATATACTAACATGTAATAACACAGGTGTGCAATATATGCATACGTTGCTGTCGTGTACCGGCCGATACTATAATAATACAACGTTTCATTACGTGTACACGGTTAGTTACTATATTATATACATAAGTACACGAGCGCAATAAACACACGCTAAAAACAAAGAAAAAAAAGAAGATAGATTATATTATATTATTATAATAAATATTATGCATAGGTGTTTGTGTGTGTGTGAGAGTGTAATAGCTGGTGTCTATATGTATAATATATAAAACAAAATAATATATAAGGTATGAAACGAGAACAGGTCGGATCGCTCGGGCCGGTGCATATACGAACGTATAATAGCTAAATTACGATGGTAATTATTATTCCAAGGGGAGAACGGGTTTGACCACCCTCCCATCCCAACCCCTCCTTCTCGCCCGTAGGTCCGACGACTTCGCCCAGCCCCTCGTGTTCCGCGGACGCCTTCGAATCAYGCTCGCGCATAATTTGTATCAGCGGTAGCAGTCAGTCCGCTACCATATACCTGCTGCAGATATCGAACGAGGTATATACCGCGGTAGCTGCGCGTGGGATGTCTTCCGTTGAGGGGTGTGTGTATGTGTGTGTGTGCACGCGCGTACAGCAAGGCGTCGTAAACAAAACRATAAATCCAAACAAAGAGYGTTTCACAGCGTCTTAAAGGTTTTCCTCGCTTAACATCTTAATATACATCATGCAATATAATAAAGTAAAATAAAATTGCCGCAGTCAACGGACGCAGTCCYGATGATGAACATTGGATTAAATTATGGTTACCGATTATTGGTATAATGTCGATTTGTGAAAATAGAAATTAAATCGGTTTTCGATCAGGTTGAGCTCCTGGAAGTGACTACTGATTACACTGCGCGTCCCCGTAATATCCCCAATCCCCATAGTATCATATTATCGCAACACTGTTTTTCTGTTTCCCGAAATGCCATCCCCCTATAATGCGTAGATTAACACACGTGGATTTTTAATTAACATTTAATAAGTACATAATATAATAGTAAATTGAAAGGGGGTGAGGGGGAAGAAAACAAATACTAATGACGGGATGTTGTTGTACAACACATGCAGCAGTAACCTTTCGCCCACGGGTTCAGCCTTTGCCGAAATTTATTACATGATACGATAAATTAATACAATAATAATAATAAGTCTTTAGACTCGTGATCCTTGTCTGGACGCGTGCTAGCGGCAGGTGTCACGAAAAGCGAAAAGACACCTGCTACAGCAGCAGTCGTCCTATACATCATAATATAGGGAGAAACGCGACTTTTGGGAAGCACTCGTCAAAGTCTCCCGCCGTTTATTTGTAGTCATTATCACCATTAGTTTATTTCACGAATATTAAATTATTATTAAACGTGGTGGCAAGGGAAACAACAGACGGCGTTTTAAAAACTACACATTTTTATCTACCTAAACTTTTATACAAATCGCTGGTGGCGGCGGCGTATTCGCTGACAATACATATATAGTATAATGTAATATATAAGCATATATATGCAATGTATATATAATAAGTTGTATAATATAGACTACATCGGACGCCGACGGAAACATTCCATCGGGCGGCGGCATCTGCGGTGCAGGAAGGACGATATTTAAATACATAATAATTACCCGGCGACGAGACCGGGTCGTGTGTCACGCGTAAATCAGCCCCGACCAATAATAACCTACCGACTGGCGTGTAAGACGGYGACGTTATAATACACACTCGTACCTATACCTATATTATTCCTCTCTCTCTCTCTCTCTCTCTATCTCACTCCCTCTGTATATAATATATTTTATGGGACGCAGGGCAGATGTAAGCGGTAGATAAGTGAACGGTGCACGACCGTGTTTATGTTAATGAACCGATGGCAATTACAA